TCCTTGGTTCCAGCATCCCTCCTACTGACTCAAATTCTGCAACCCTTCATAGGCTTTTGTAGCCAGCAATGAAATGCTGATGCACTATTTCATGGAAGTGTTTACTGCAAAGGAGATAATATTTTCCATACTATCCAGCTTCACAGTCAGTATTGGGCAGATAGCACGGCTAATTATTGCACATGCAGCCAGTGCTAAACACATGGGTTTGATGTCATCCTTGCCCTGTGTATTTGTCTGTCAGGTATCACCCTAGTTTTCAAGCAGTAACATCAGAAAGCAACATCTCCAGGGAAAACTGATCAGTTCCCCCTTCTAATAAGATGTAATATAGGAAATGCTGAAAAGTGCAAATGTACTGCCGGATAATTTACTTACTACTTCATTTTTAAGAATACGCCCTTAAGGGCTTCTGTTAGCCCTTTCATCGAGTATAATGGGATTAGTTGTCAGTTATGAGTCCACAAAATGCATTTTTGGCTTCGTGCCTTTTACTTCTCTGAAAGGATTGGGCATGGGGGTGCGGCTGCACGTGTATATTATATTATTTGGAGATGCTCTCGGGGGATATGGCTGACTGCCACTAGAGTATGCATTGGCTTCTCAGCCCAGACGGCATTAGTGTCAAGCTGTGTTCATACTGTTGTTATTCTCCCGGTATGACTTCTATCCAGATACATTTTTCAGAGTAGCAGCCGTGTTCGTCTGTATTTGCAAAAAGAAAAGGAGTACTTGTGACACCTTAGAGACTAACAAATTTATTTGAGCATAAGCTTTCGTGAGCTACAGCTCACTTCATTGGATGCTTATGCTCAAATAAATTTGTTAGTCTCTAAGGTGCCACAAGTACTCCTGTTCTTTTTATCCAGATACACTCCACCTGAGGGGAGTTTTTTCAGGCTCTAATTTTTAGGCTTTGATAGTGTCAGATGAGGGGGAAAAATGTTTCACTAACTGATTTAAATTGTAAATAAATGTGATTCAACTGGGCAGTTTCCCCTTTTGTATTTGGGTTCTGTGAATATTCTGGGGAATGAGTTTACTGCCTGGAATGTCATCAGACAGTGATATTTTTTAAGTAGGGCAGTCGATCAATTGCAGTTAACTCATGCGATTAACTAAAAAAATTAATTGCAATTAAAAATATTAATCGCGATTAATCAGTTTTAATCGCACCGTTAAACAAGAGACTACCAATTGAAATTTATTAACTATTTTGGATTTTTTTTACATTTTCATATATATCTTGTCTTCTGTGTTGAAACTGATATTAAAGTGTATATTTTGATAACAAATATTTGCACTGTAAAAATGATAAACAGAAGAAATAATATTTTTCAATTCACCTCATACAAGTACTATAGTGCAATCTCTTTGTCCTGAAAGTGCAACTTACAAATGTAGATTTATGTTTTTGTTACATAACTGCACTCAAAAACAAAACAATGTAAAACTTCAGGGGCTACAAGTCCACTCAGTTCTACTTCTTTTTCAGCCAATAGCTGAGACAAACAAGTTTGTTTACATTTACAGGAGCTACTGCTGCCCTCTTCTTATTTACAATGTCACCAGAAAGTGAGAACAAGTATTTGCATGGCACTTTTGTAGCCAGCATTACAAGGTATTTACGTGCCAGAAATGCTAAATATTCATATGCCCCTTCATGCTTTGGCATTCCAGAGGACATGCTTCCATACCGATGATGCTCATTAAAAAATAATGCGTTAATTAAATTTGTGACTGAACTCCTTGGTGGAGAATTGTACATCCCCTGCTCTGTTTTACCTGCATACTGCCATATATTTCATGTTATGGCAGTCTAGGATGATGACCCAGCACATGTTGTTGTTCGTTTTAAGAACACTTTCACTGCAGATTTGACAAAACGCAAAGAAGGTACCAATGTGAGATTTCTAAAGATAGCTACAGCACTCGACCCAAGGTTTAGGAATCTGAAATGCTGTCCAAAATCTGAGAGGGACGAGGTGTGGAGCATGCTTTCAGAAGTCTTAAAAGAGCAACACTCTGATGCGGAAACTACAGAACCGAAACTACCAAAAAAGAAAATCAATCTTCTGCTGGTGGCATCTGACTCAGATAATGAAAATGAACATGTCGGGCCGCACTGCTTTGGATGGTTTTTGAGCAGAACCCATCGTCAACATGGATGTATATCCCCTGGAATGGTGGTTGAAGCATGAAGGGACATATGAATCTTTAGCGCATCTGGCATGTAAATATCTTGCAACGCCAGCTACAAGAGAACGCCTGTTCTCACTTTCAGGTGACATTGTAAACAAGAATCCGGCAGCAATATCGCCTGCAAATGTAACCAAACAGGTTTGTCTGAGCGATTGGCTGAACAAGAAGTAGGACTGAGTGGATTTGCAGGCTCTAAAATTTTACATTGTTTTATTTTTGAATGTAGTATTTTTGTACATAATTCTACATTTGTAAGTTCAACTTTCATGATAAAGAAATTGCACAACAGTACTTGCATTAGGTGAATTGAAAAATACTATTTCTTTTGTCTTTTTACAGTAAAAACACTTGTAATCAAAAATAAAATATAAAGTGAGCACTGTACACTTTGTATTCTGTGTTGTAATTGAAATCAATATATTTGAAAATGTAGAAAACATCCAAAAATATTTAAATAAATGGTATTCTATTGTTTAACAGTGTGATTAATTGTGATTAATTCTTTTTAATCGCTTGACAGCCCTATTTTAAAGCAAATATTGGAGGATGGTAGCAGCAAACGAATCTCAGATTTGTAATCTGCACTGTGGAAGGAGCAGCTTCTCAGCTGGTGTCATTGGCATAGTGCAATTGGTTTTTGTAGAGCTACACTGATTTACACCAGACGAGGACCGGGCCCTAAGAATAACATTCATCCAATCAAGGACCAGAAACATACCAGATGACCTGTGTGTCCAATCAAAACAACTTGTATTTCAAAGGTCAATTACTAAATGCTCACAGAAGCTGTTTGCTTCAAAAATTCAAAGATCATTGGCTGAATAATCATGAAATTTTAGAAATTCATGTTCCTTTTCTGGATAATCAGAACAGACGAAGGGGCAACATTCATTGTATAAACTACACACATCCGAATTATTCACCTCCCTTGTACTGAGCCCCTTAAATCCCATTGCTTTAAGGGAGTTCAGCACCTGACAGGATGGAGCCCATTGTAAACTTGGTTAGAAATTGTAGCCGTGATACTGAGGGGGATGGGGATGTGTGTGTGTGTTTGCATGTTATTCACTAGCATCCTTTGCAGGCAGTAGTCAGCTCTTCAAAACATTTGTTCCAGAAGAGAGAGAGAGAGAGAATTCAAAGCAACTTTGCATCATTAAACAGCTGAGAACGATGATGGACCCAGCAGGAGACCCAACATCCACTTGAAGGAGCACAGTGTATTTATCATTCTCTGCTAGATTGTTACATTCTATGATTATCTACTGGAAGCACATATCCTAGCAAGCCATTTACAGCAGTCAGTGACTGCGGAGTTGGTCCAGGGAAGACAACGACAGCACAGATTACACAGGGCAGGACCAGTTACTGAACCAGAACTGAGCTTTGCTGCATTGCTACGTCACCAAACAAACAAAGACAAAAACAACCTAAAGCCCAGGAGTTGGAAACCCAAATCAGACTGATGCTCAGTTGGACAGGTTTTCTGTTCAGTCCCAACCTTGTCATTGCAGAGCAAATAGTTGCAATCTTTTTTGGGTGCAGGCACAATTTTCTGCAGTGCTCCCACTGATCCTCTTGATGGCTCATTACACATACATGCTGGGCTTACAGTGTGTGTGTGTGTGTGTGTGTGTGTGTGATGGAATAGAAGGTCACAGACCCAGCACAACAAGCAAGCAAAGAAACAAATAAATAAAGGAATCAAGCCGGGTCACTGAGGCATGCACTTTAAGCACCTGTTTTACCAAAGCTGCTGCTCCCCGATTATGAAAGACTCTCCCAGCACAAGTTTTCAGACCACTGTAAACACTACACACATGTACTCCCCTTCTTCTAATTCTTGGCCAGAACTGGGCGCATATTACGAGCATTTTGATATTTGTTTGACTTTTTAACTGAGTTTGCTTCAATTATGTACACATTCCTATAGGGTCCTTACTGCCTGTTATGGCACATGATGTGTTTCTCTGTCTAGCTGACTTTTGTTTTAGATGAAGCAAGAAACAACAATTGTCCAGAGACCCATTCTGCTTTCAGTCAAATCAGGAGTAACTCAATGGCCCAAAGTCACCACCAGAGCGAGAACTCAGTGGTTCCCTTTCTAACATTGCATGTCTGAAACATAACAATACATGGCAGCGGACCCATCCAGCAAGGTAGGCCCTTCTACATTTAATGGCACAGTACAGAGGAGACGGAATAGCATCACCATGGGCCAATGTGGCTGAGCTCTGTGAGTTTGTCCACACTGCAATTAAACACCCACAGCTGGCATGTGCCAGCTGATGGGACTTGAGGCTGTAAAATTGCAGTGGAGATGTTTGGGCTCAGGCTGGAGCCTCAGCTCTGGGACTCTGCTGGGCTGCAGCCAGAGCCCAAATGTCTACACTGCAATTTTACAGCCCTGCAGCCCAAGCCCTGCGAGTGTGAGTCAGCTGTGAGGGGCCAGCCAAGGGTGTTTAATTGCAGTGTAGACACAGTCTCAGTGTCTTCTCTTTTAGCAGCCAGAGAACTTGATTTCTCAGAACACTAGCTTTGCTTTCAAACCGCATTTGTTTCTACTGAGGCTTTTTATTGAATTGTGTCAATTCCCACTCCCCTGTTAATTTTCAATGAGGTTTTCAGAAACATCTATTTGATGATGAATGAAATAAAATCTGCAGCCTAAAAGTCTGTGTTTCTAGGGATCCTGTCACAACAACCCCAGAGTGGTGGAGGTTTATTTGGTTTTTAAAAACTTCTGTGGGACGTCTTTACATTTCTCTCTCTCTCTCTCTCTCTCTCTCTCTTTCTAGGGCTGTTGATAAGCTCAGGCTGTGCTTTGTACCCCTTAGGATGGAACAGCCCAGAAATACAGCAGACATGTGGGAATGCCTCCAAGCAATTTCAGTTAGGTAAGGCAGCCCTGGAAAGGAGAACACCGAATGGCTAATGGGTTTTTACACATATTCTCTCTAGTTAATCACCTTATATGAGTCCTGAATCAATGACAACAATAAGAAAAGGAGTACAAAGGATGCATCCGATGAAGTGAGCTGTAGCTCACGAAAGCTTATGCTCAAATAAATTGGTTAGTCTCTAAGGTGCCACAAGTACTCCTTTTCTTTTTGCGAATACAGACTAACACGGCTGTTACTCTGAAAAATGACAACAAAATGTTATTCATCTCAGCCAGCACCTATGCTGGCCTGGTAGGTTCAGCTGTTGTGGCTGCTGTCAGTATCATGGGTCATATCACACCTCTGCCTTCTGCAACTTGTGGGATTTTCATTTTCTTTTGTTTAAAGTTGACTAGAGGGCTACCTCCCAGCCCTATTGCTAATGCTCTTTCTTTGATGACTGGAGCAGCTGATTGTGACTGTCGGGTAAAACAATACGTAGCGTATCTGAAAAGTTGATCTGAGGCACTTGTTATCTGGATTGATTCCCTATTGTGCAAGGTGCTGTACAGAGAGATAGGCAGACGTGCACCTGTGCAAGGGGTGCTTCTTTGATGCACCAGTAGATATTTATCCCTGTATCTTCAAAGTTGTGCACAATACACAAACATTAAGTAGCGAGCCCCATAATACTTTATATTTCCTTGTTTCTTTTTCTTTTTTTTTTAATATTTTGTTAAGAAAATACTTGTGATCTGACAGAGAATGAAGCCCTCTGTTTATCCACAGGACAGATGCAGCATAGGCAACAACTATGCAAACTTCTTTGCCAATGTTCCCAGAGCTGACAAACTTAGACTGACCTGGAAGGACCACCTCTGCTGAGGACAGAGGAGGTCAGTTTCCATGGCTCATTCGCTCCGAGGGTTGCCAAACCTCCAGGATTGTCCAGGAGTCTCCAGGAATTAAACATGAATCTTTAATTAAAGATTGTCGTGTGATGAAACCTTTGGGAATACAACCAACCAAAACTGGCTACCCTCTTTGCTCCTGGGATTGTTGACAATGAAGGCAATTAGCATCAACTGTGGAAGCCCTTTCTGTAATACGGACATTTGTCCACTAGGTACTGGCCTAAGACTACAAATTCATTCCATGTAGCCAATAAACAGCTCTCCAATGGTATTAACTTTTGCTCATTTTTAGAAGTGGCTGTGTTTGAATCTGTTTTAGGTTTGGGCTTAGGACTGGTAACTGGAGCTGAATTGGGATTTGGGTATAAGGTGTTAAAACCTTTTGAGTAGTTCTCATGAGATTTCAGCTCCCCAATGGTAGAAGTTTGTGAGATCAGCTGATCTCATGAGGTTTACAGATTTGCTGAGCTTGAGACACTTCCTCCCTTGTGGGCTACCTCTGAACCTAGACTTCAAAGTGAGTCCCAGCTTTGAGAGCTGATCAGGAATCAAAATCATAGAGAGATGGTTTGGATCTAAGGATTCAGAACTGAACCCATTCCCCCCCCCCCCCCCCAAAAGCCTACTGGGCTTGGACTCAGGGTTTGGATGTTGACTCAACTCTAACAATTATTGATTTGAGTCAGATTTGAATTGGCAACCCAGGGTAAAGACTCTATACTGCATTATCATCCCCCTGAGTCACCCATTACCCCAGAGACATCTCATCCCTTTCTAAGGCAGAAGGGCATCCTTTCTTTGATTCTACAAAGCATCCAACATGTGTTTTAACTGTAAGCACATGACTTCAACGGCACTCGAGCACATGCTTAACATTATGCATGCACTCAAGGGCTTTGCTGAATCAGGGCCTTGCAGGATGCTTTGATCTAGGCATGCTAAATATAAGCCTTTGTATCAGGGGATCGCTTTCTACTGTGGCTTTGAAGGGGACAGAGAGTGCACCAAGAAGGGATAATATTATGCAAAACCCCCTCTCAAGAGGAGCAGCACAATGGAAAACTATTCCCGACAGTGGAGTTCTTCTGTAAACTGTCTCAGCTCCCTTGAGTACAATGTGCCGTCTACATCAAGCACACAGGGAGGACTGGGGAAGGAGGAGAAGAGCTTCTTCCTGGCAGAGCTCTCTTTACTGCAGACTCCTCTGAGATAGCAACAGATCAGGGCTGCAGTGTACATGGATCACGGGGGCATGAAGCTTATGACAAATGGGCTGAGGCCAATTACAGATGATCAAAGCATCTCTCCTATATATTCTAGCCCACAGCTTTATTTTTTCTTAATCAAATTAAGCCATAAAATAGCATTTAACTTGCTGTCTGCTGCTCTCAGAGGTACTGCTGATTTCTTGTTAATGTCAGATACACGTTCTGTTCTGGTTTGGCCCTTGTACCACACCTCTCACCAGGGTATCCGAGCTTCTCAATGGAGAAGCTCTTACCTTAAAGTGAAGTGACACTCGGAAAAGTGACTGTTAAAAAAAAAAAAAGGGGGGTGGGAGGTGAGGGAAAAAAAAAAGATTCACAATTCCAGTTGAAATCTACTCAGTTCAAAAATAAAACCAGTGACTTTTCCCAGTTGCTCACTGAAGTAGAAACTTGTTTAAATTATTGTACTCTGGGATTTTCAAACAGAGAGTTAGGCAGCTGGTTCCCTTTGAAAGACACCCAACTCCCTTAGAGCCTTTGAAAATCCTAGCCCGGGTCTTTATTGTAAGCAGCTCTGACTCCATCTATGCATGGAGAGCAGTGCACATCTATTGAGTATGAAGGTCCCTTTTTTGCAGTCTATTTTCTGAGCATGGCCTTGCTTTAAGGACAAGACCCATGAACAGGAAATAGGGCATGATACACATGATCTCTTCTTAAGTGACATGAATGTATCATTAACGTTAAGAAATACACAGGAAAGTCATAAGTTAAGGTTGTCTCAACACTGTTATGCTTGTCATATTGCACATATAGACTCACAGCAAGCACAAGAACTAGTGATTTGATTGATTGCTTTTCCTTTTAAATCTCTGCCTAATTTGATACATATATGCTGGGCAAGAGAATTCTCAGGGGCCCAAACACGCTGAATTGTCAAGACACTTCTCCTTTGGGGTTCTGACCATAGATTCATGTAGCTACTGTACTCCAAATTGCATTTGGAGTCTGGCACACTCTGTGCCTTTCTTGCCTTTTCACAATCAACCTCTTCTCCCATCGCTTCTTGTGCTATCACAAGGCTTTTCAAGTCAGCAACTGGTAACCCAGTTACATCCTGAATTTGTGTTGCAGGCAGCTGTCCAGAAAGGACAGCTGGTTATAGAAGTATATTTATTTCTAATGTTGGTTTTAACCTTTAAGTTGTCTGTATAGAGAGGACAAATATTAGTGGGATGGATTGGCGGCCTTGAGTTGTAAGAACACTTGCAATACTTTTTATTCTGAATTTACCCAGCTCCAGCAGAGTTACTGGGCCCAGCCATTTCATAACTGCACAATGGTCCCGTGATGCCTGTTGGCTGGTGCAAAGGTAGCAGAATGTTGGGAATCATTAGGAAAGGGCTAGATAATAAGATGGAAAATATCGTACTGCCTCTATATAAATCCATGGTACGCCCCCAACTTGAATATTGCATGCAGATGTTGTCACCGCGTCTCAAAAAAGACATGTTGGAATTGGACAAGTTTCAGAAAAGGGCAAAAAAAAATGATTAGTGGTATGGAACAGCTTCTGTATGAGGAAAGATTAATAAGACTGGGACTTTTCAGCTTGGGAAAGAGACGACTAAGGGGGGATATGATAGAGGGCTATACAATCATGACTGGTGTGGAGAAAGTAAATAAGGAAGTTTTATTTACTCTGTCTCATAACACAAGAACTAGGGGTCATCAAATGAAATTAATAGGCAGCAGGTTTAAACCAAACAAAAGGAAGTGTTTCTTCACACAATGTACAAGCAACCTGTGGAACTGCTTGCCAGAGGATGTTGTGAAGGCCAAGACTATAATAGCGTTCAAAAAAAGAACTAGTAAGTTCATAGAGGATAGGTCCATCAGTGGCTGTTAGCCAGGTGTCCCTAGCCTCTGTTTGCCAGAAGCTGGGAATGGGCGACAGGGGATGGATCACTTGATGATTACCCGCTCTGTTCATCCCCTCTTGGGCACCTGGCGTTGGAAGACAGGATACTGGGTTAGATGGACCTTTGGTCTGACCCTGTATGGCCGTTCTTATGTTCTTATAAGGTCCCCCTGGGAACATCATGGTGCAGGGAGCCATGGCTCTATAGCAGTTGTGGGTGCAGGGTGTGACCGCGTGCCTGGAATGGGCCTCACTGAGAATGCCACACTCAAGGCAGACCACACTGAATAGGGCAGACAGTCCCCCAGACTGGTGGTTTATTCTATAATTCGATTAATCAAGCCAGTAACAAAGGAGCTTCTGCAGCTCCACACTGGTTAACCAGAAGCCAAACACAGTCTCCTGTAGGCATTCCACCCCTTGGCTCCTATCCTGACAACCAAGTCTAACATAGTGAGGGGTTGTTGAAAACTGATTTCACCATATGTGAGGTTCTTTCTAATCCCAAAGGATCAGACACCTATCCTCAGGTCAGTATGAATCTCAGATCTTACCCAAATATCACACTGTCCGCCAATCCTTAGTAAACTAACTAGAGGTTTAATAATAGAAGAAAAGAAGAGAGTTATAAGTGGCTAATAGATCATATACGTGCAAGTGATTGCAAAGTCCTTGTATCAGGTTGTAGCAGTGGTGGAATAAACTGCTGGTTTGCAAAAGTCTCTCTGGAATCACCCAAACAGATTGGGTGGTCATCAGTCCTTGTTCAAAGCTGCCTTGTTAGAAATCCAGTCCAGAGAAATGAAGACACAATGGAGATGTCTCAGGTGCCGTTTTATATTCTCTGCCATATACATGAAAATTTACTGTCCCAAACAAAGCCCACATGTGCATGGACAGATACTGACCCAAGATGGAGTCCAGGGTCACATGAGTATGGAAAGTTACTGGGAGAAGATGGCATCTCAGGTC